GCATAGAGAGGAGTGGTGGCCATCTTTCCTTCACTAATCTCTATGCCCAGTGCTGGAATTGTTCGATGGTTTCTCAGCTAAGGCTGAGAACTACCGAGCAGTGGCCAGCGAGGGCGGGGTTTTTTTCGGCACCTGTAGCAGTGCTTTTTTTATATCGGCCGGCGGCCGAAAGGGGTGTTTTCAGCCGAAACGTTTCGGTCACCGAAATTTCGGTGCATCCCTAGAAAGTACAGATTGTTATGTACATCAGCTGTCTCAAAGTCCCCCACTACTGGAATCAAGCAATGATTTCCTGTCCTTGTGCAGTGTGCAGCTATAAATTCTACAAGGTATGCTGTGACTTACAGTCCCCTAAGGCTGTAAATATATTTATGCACAACAATAGTCAGAGCTAACAAAAAAAAAGGCATAATACAGGCACTAGAAGTGCATGAACCAAGGAAGAATACAACCACAAAACACTGATCTTCTTATAGAAACAAATTGGTGATCAAAGGGTTGATTGTCATGCATACTCTTTAGAAGCCCTAATAGCACCCCTTACCACATCTGAATTCCCAATATGAACCCTTTGAGAATCAACAGGCTACTCTTCTATTCATATTTTAGATCTGTTTGTGCTTCCTTAGAGTTCTAGGCCACCAAACTTACACTGGCCAGTTTGGCAGGGACCCGCCATTTTCGGTATGTGGCAGTCCCTGATCAAGTTCTGTCAAGGGGGATTGTTGGAAATCTTTTCCCAATCAGCTGTCAGAATACAATATCCCTACAAGGAGCCTTCCACCACCCACTTTGTATAAAACTCCCTCCCCTCATGCCAGGGTACTAGGTGTAATCCTAGACTCCCATCTGTCCTTTCAGCCCCAAATCCAATCGCTGTCTAAATCTTGTAGACTTCACCTCCGCAACATCTCCAAGATACGCCCGTTCCTAACCTCGGAAACCACTAAGCAATTTATTTACTCCCTTGTTCTATCTCGCCTTGAGTATTGTAACTCCCTCCTCATTGGCCTACCTCATCGCAGGCTATCCCCTCTACAGTCTGTCATGAATGCTGCTGCCAGACTCATCCACCTTACTAACCATTCTGTATCTGCCACCCCACTCTGCCAATCCCTCCACTGGCTTCCCATTGCCCAACGGATACAATTCAAAACATTAACAATAACATATAAAGCCATTTATAACTCTGCCCCAAATTACATCACCGATCTTGTCTCCAAATATCACCCAAACCGTACTCTCCGCTCCTCGCATGACCTCCTGCTCTCTAGCTCCCTTGTCTCCTCCTCCTATGCTTGTCTCCAGGACTTCTCCAGAGCTTCCCCCATCCTCTGGAATTCTCTACCCCAATTTATCAGACTATCGCCTACTCTGTTCACTTTTAGGCGATATCTGAAAACCTGTCTCTTCAGGGAAGCCTATCCTGCCCTCAGCTAATAATGGAATCTTCTACTCTTCCAACCAGTCCATCCCCCACAGTTACTACCTTTTGTACCACTAGCCCCTCCCTACTAGATTGTAAGCTCCAAGGAGCAGGGCCCTCCTATCCCTCATGTATTGAACTGTATTGTTGCCGTATTGTCTCCCATTATATTGTAAAGCGCTGAGCAAACTGTTGGCGCTATATAAATCCTGTATAATAATGATAAAGCAGGAATCTGTTAGTTTTTTCTTTTCAACCCGCTGGCTTGTAGCTCAAAGCTCAAAAATGCTCAACATGCAAAACCCCATTATATTCAATAGCCTTTGTTCACATCTGAGCATCCTGTCGCTTGTAGCTGAACACCTGTCACTCCAAAAAGTACATGAGCTACTTTTCAGGCATTTTTGGCCCCATTGGATTCAATGGGAACTCCTGAAAACACTTGATTTGAGTGTTTTTTCAGGGGTATTTTAGCCTATATTAAGTGATCTCCTTCCCCTAGTGATTTCCATTGGCTAAAACAAAAAGCCTGAAGCTTGAATACACATATACAATGCCTGTATACACTTGTAAAGATTCTTAAAAAGCTCAAATAAAAACTCCTGAAAATCACTCTGCTCGGGTGGGAATGCAGCCTAAAGCAAGAAACTGTACACACATTTGATCAAAATGCCTGATTCATTCTCTAATCCCTTGTGCAGCAACACTTTGTTTTCAGCTAATCAGAAAAAACGTATTTCTCTGACAGGAGGAGAGAACACAGTGACAGCCTCCTCAATATACATCTGGATGGGACTTTACAGGCAATCCACATAGACAAAAATTAAACCAAAACAAACTGCGCTATGGATCTAGCAAATATTGAAACTCAACAATTAAAATGATAAATATTACTGGTGCAGCTTCTCAAGTGTGTTCCACTAATATATAAACAAAAATTCTTTGCACAGCGCTCAACAGTATAAGCAAACTTAATAAACAGTGTCTATTAAATGTCCAAAGAAAATAGCCTTCAATCCCCAATATGTGGTGTTTTCTTCATAAAGTGCTAAACCAACAAAGTGATTGGTGCTCTTAAAGTGCTCATCAATCGGTGACCGCCTTTGTGACCACACTCACCAGATCTAGTGGACCCCTTGCTAACACAACAGAGTCAGACGGCGCTTTTTTGGTGGATTACTCCTCCTGTCCTATAGACATAGCAGTGGATAACCTGTTCTGTGTTTTGTTTTGAGATTGGAAGAAAGTAACTTCAAGTTACAAAAAGTAACTTCAGTCTTTTATCACTTCTAGTCCCCTGATGTTACTTTTGAATTACCAGCCTGGATTGTGGATGCATCCATTTTGGCTTTGCATGTGCTTTGTCATTAAACTAGCAGCAAGCATACAACTTGCCAAACATCATACAGCCTTTCTTCCAATCTCATTACAAAACACAGAACAGGTTATCCACAACTATGTTTATTGTTGGAAGGAGAGAATGGAGAACAATAAGGTGTGAGTAGGATTCACCACAAAAGCGCTGTCTAGCTATGTTGTGTAAGCAAGGGGTACACCAGATCTGGTGAGTGTGGTCACCAAGGGGGTCACCGATTGATGAGCACTTTTAAGAGCACCAGTCACTTTGTTGGTTTTGCCTGAACATGGAGTAGTTTTGAAGAAAACACTATATATTGTGTATTGAAGGCTATTTTTTTGGGGCGTTTAATGGACGCTGTTTATTAAGTTTGCTTACACTGTTGAGCACTGTGCAAATATTTTTTTTTCCACATAGATAACTGTATAAAACATATGTTTTTATCCAAAACATTTAATAAAATTCCATAAAAAACACTACATAAAGCTACACAAAGGTTCCATGATCAGAGTTGGGCACAATCTCTCATATCCACGGGTACAATTTCTTGTGTCCTGATGCGTTTTGAAATTACTCTTTTCCTCAGGAGAGCTGAGAATATTTATACAATCCCTATATAACATTTACAGGCACTTGAACTTTAATGGCTTCCCAGTCTTAGTCCGTAGGGTTCAATATTGAGTTGGCCCACCCTTTGCAGCTATAACAGCTTCAACTCTTCTGGGAAGGCTGTCCACAAGGTTTAGGAGTGTGTCTATGGGAATGTTTGATCATTCTTCTAGATGCTCATTTGTGAGGTCAGGCACTGATGTCGGACATGAAGGCCTGGCTCACAGTCTCTGCTCTAATTCATCTCAAAGGTGTTCTATCAGGTTGAGGTCAGGACTCTGTGCAGGCCAGTCATGTTCCTCCACCCCAAACTCGTTCATCCATGTCTTTAAGGACCTTACTTTGTGCACAGGTGTGCAGTCGTGTTGGAACAGGAAGGGGCCCTCCCCAAACTGTTCCCACAAAGTTGGGAGCATGAAATTGTCCAATATGTCTTGGTATGCTGATGCCTTAAGAGTTCCCTTAATTGGAACTAAGGCACCAAGCCCAACCCCTGAAAAACAACCCCACACCATAATCCCCCATCCACCAAACTTTACACTTGGCACAATGCAGTCAGGCAAGTACCGTTCTCCTGGTAACCGTCAAACCCAGACACGTCCATCGGATTGCCAGACAGAGAAGCACGATTTGTCACTCCAGAGAACACGTCTCTACTGCTCTAGAGTCCAGTGGTATCGTGCTTTATGCCACTGCATCCAATGCTTTGCTTTGCACTTGGTGATGTAAGGCTTTGATGCAACTGCTTGGCCATGGAAACCCAAGTTGCTGTTGTTCCCAGTTGCTTCCACTTTGTTATAATACCACTAACAGTTGACCGTGGAATATTTAGTAGCAAGGCTGGACTTATTTCACAGCTGGCAACTTATTGCGGTACCATGCTTGAATTCCCTGAACTCCTAAGAGTGACCCATTCTTTCACAAATGTTTGTAGAAGCAGTCTGCCTGCCTAGGTGTTTGGAACACCTGAATCCAATGATTTGGAGGGGTGTCCCAATACTTTTTGGCAATATAGTGTATGTGTAGAGTTTGGTACACACTTACAACACCAATAGATCATATGACATGCATGGCCCTCCAACTTGTTGGTAATTTTATTAACTGCATGCCATAGGATCTATGAATGGTAAAATACCCCCTTACACTGGAGGTCAGTAGGAAAAATGCCCCCTTACATTGGTGGTCAGTGGGAATGATGCCCCCTTACAGTGGTGGTCAGAATGCCATCCTTACAGAGAGATGAAAAAGATCATTGGTGTTCCGCTGATGGCTTTGCCAAGTAGTGTTGGTCCTGGAACTATTCAGGCATCATCAAATGAGAGATCAATCAGCTACAGCTCATGGAACCCCTAGCAACCTCTGGAGGAGCTCTATGGTCTTACAAAACCCTGGTTGAGCATGACTATCCATTTTGGGATATCAGAACAATAGATTGAGACTTGGTGCCCAAACACAGACAGCATTTGAGTCTGATGTAATCCTGTACATTTACTTTTAGGTTTCCTTTATTCCACAGTGAAATCCGTTCTGTGCAGTCAGACAGTGGAAAGTTCTAAAATAGACTTCCAGAGATGCCAAAAATAGACTGCTACACTACAAGCTGTTTAGCTGGACAGTTTGCTACAATGGAGGCCAGTTCTGTCCTCCTAGCTCTTACTAATATCTATGTAGCAATATTTGCCCTATTTTGTTTTAAACTTTTAATCAAGGTGTCCTTGTGCGTGCTCACACATTTTTACATTGTGCGGGGCAATCGGAAGGAAGCTGCCAGAATAGCAGAAGAGATCTATGGAATAGTACAAGGTAACATGATTCTTTATAATACGACTAAAATGTTATCATGTTTTATTTCCAAAATGATTTCCATAGCAGTTTGCAATAGGCTGTCTAGTAGAGGCTAATATACATATATTGTATGCTTCCTTGTGAGAGTTTATAATAACACATACATTAATATGGCTAATGGTGAGTCCAGTTAAAGCATAAGAAGCTGTTTTTTCTTCGGTATACAATTTTGTTATGATGTGGATAAGACTCATTGGTGGATCATACAATACAGACCAGGCATTTTGTGTAATGTTTTAGAATTGTATCTACTAGAATTACTTACTGGAAGTAAATGTGTTTTATACTGCAGGTATCTAGCTTAGAAGAAGCAGCAACATAGGATGTGGGCCTGCAGTGTAGCAAAGGCTTGTTTACCAAGATGTCACATCCTGTAAGATCACATTGCAAAGGACTATTGCACATAGCTTGTCATCCTTGCTAATACAAGTATGACACAATATTTGGCCTCCTGTATAAAAAGTAGATAAAAAGGAGTGTTCTCCATAGAGTTGTCACCTTTTCTTAAACCCAAACACTTTAGGGGCACACAGCAATTTTTTTTTGTAGTATACACTATAGGATTGTAAAATACCTGGGGCACCTTTGGATGCCCAAAGAAGAGTATTAATGCAGTATGCTACGTGTGCCGTGGAGAACAGTGGGTGTGGCCAAATTGTGTTACTAGTGGGAGGAGCTTAAAGGGGAATCGTTAAATATAACAAAAGCATTCTTGTACCCCCAAAAAATGCTTAGATTAATAAAATAAATGTCACTTTAAAAATATGAACTTAGCCTTCCTTAAAAGTGAACAGTCTCAGTTGGTAGAGCAGTGAACAGTGTCAGTAGTTTTTTTATTTTGTATTTTTTTTATTATTATTATTTTTACAAGTTTATTTTTGTATTTGTTACAATTTTTTTTTTAATCAACTTTTTTTAAGAGCCCTGTTGGGGGTCTTTGTTGAAATATCAATCATAGACACACAGAGGTGGCTTGGGAGTGAGCATGCACAAATGCCCCCAGAGTACATGGATTTCTCTGGGGGGTACTCGACATGGGGGATGAGCCAGGAGTGCCAGTGGGAGACTCGAGAAGAAGAGAACATTTATTATCACTTAAAGTTGGGATCTCTCTAGAGTCTGGCCCAGCTGAGTGAACTTGGTCCTACTTCTCCTTTAATAACTTTTTGTAGTGGGCCTGGCTGTCTCATCGGATGTTTAATCAGCCTTCCCGAGCAAAACATATACACCTGTTATTGGTACATGTGACCTCCTGCTTCAAATGATATTGGGAGGTCATAGGCCTCATTAATACTGATACTCCTGCATTTACCTTTTTCTAAATGCAGGAGAAGTGATTTAGGAAGTACGAACAACTTTTCAAATCACTTTTTATGTGCTTAGATGTTCCTGCTTTTAGATACGTTTACATGTGTTTACTGCATTTAGTTGCATTTATTGGGTCTAATCAGATCCTAGATGAACAGAATTAAATTTTCCCTAAACGTAGCTAAACCGACCACACCTAAACCCGAATAAAGGCTCAGCGTGACTGGCACCAGTAAAAATCATTATGTACGTTTATGCGTTTAGGAATGGCCTCTAAATACATATAAATGCAAGTTTGACAGTGGCCAATGTGCATAAGGCCTAATGCAGGCCATAGACGGGTCAAAAACTGGCCGTTTTTGTAATAAAAAAAATGAAAAATCGGTTGTTCGATCGGCCGAGGTTACCACCAATGGTAAAAAAATCGGCCGATTTTCATCCCGTCTATGGATGGCTTTTAATTACTTCTGTCCCGTGCAGAGAGCTCCGCTATTATATTTGACATGAAAACGTATTGAGGTTGCAACAATTTATCCATTTGTATCCATTTTGGATACAGATGTTTTTATTCGGATACAAATAGATACATTGTTGCAACCGCAATACTTTTCATGTCAAATATAATAGCGGACTGGAATTCTTCTTCTTTTTCTTCTTTTTATACTTCTTCTTTTTCTTGCAGGTCACGGCAAAATCGGACGATTTTTTTCCAACTTTACCGATAAAACAAATGTGGCAAAACCCCGAAAAATGGCCAACCAATTAACCCACTAACGGTGCAAAAATCTACCAATTTTTTTTTCGGCTGAAAAAATTGGTAGATTTTTGACCCGTCTATGGCCTGCATTACTCTTCATGCTGATTTTTTTAAAACATATTGTACACTTTTGAAATTGCAGCAGAATCTTTGTATGTCTGTGTATATATACACAATCATTTTGAATGAATAGTAATATAATAGCAACTAGTCAAATCATTATTTACATAATAATCCAGTAAGCCATTGAAAAAAATCTTAACAATCGGAAGCAGCTCTTCTGCACCATTGACAGATTATTAAAACCTCGTTGTCCTTCCACATTACCAGCTTCAACACTGCTCTGTAACACATTCTTACATTTTTTCTTTCCTCAAAAATTGACAAAATAAAGCATCAAATTCTTACCACACCACATGTTTCTTTCACATCACTTCCTGACCCACCCAGTTTTACTGGTTCTTCTCTCTCCCTCTTCTTTCTGCACCTCTGATGAAATCTCGAATATGAAATCATCCACCTGCATACTTGATCCTATTTCTATCCATTTATTTAAACCCCGTTTTAGTTCTCTATGCGTCATTTTTATATCATAAATATCATAAATGATTCCCTTAGCATTGGTTTTGTACCAACAATCCTCAAAACTGCTGCCATCACCCAGGAACCAAAAAAACCCAACATAGCTCTGGACAGTTTAAAAAAAACGTTTGCCCAATATCTAACTTACCCTTCCTTGCCAAGATCCTTGAGTGTGATATCTCAGTTACTTAATCACCCGACTTGAAATAACCTATTTGAACCCCTCCAATTTAGTTTTCGGCAACTGCACAGCACAGAAACTGCCTTGGTCAAAGTCATTAACCACCTCCCATCCGGCCGTTGTATATAAACAGCCGGCCGGTGGCAGTGCAGGGGTGAGTGGCCGTTTATAAATGACCTCCCCGCTCCCTGCTTGTGCACACTCCCTGGGAGCGCGCAGCACCGCGATCCGGTGCCCGCTGTGTCCTCTGGACACAGTGGAACACTGATCGTCGTACAGGACCTCTGCAAGGTCCCGATCATGTGATCACTGATTGACCAATCAGTGATCACATGCAGAGTAGTAAGCAAGATGTCACTTCTGACATCATTGCATACTACGTGTGAAATCTGTGAATGATCACAGAGGTCACATGGTACAAGGCTATTCACAACAGCCTTGTACCATGTGACAAGCTGTGTCCAATCACAGCTCACACAGTAGTTCTCAATGGCTGCAAGAAAGCAGCCAGAGAGAAGTAGAAATGGTTGCTTTTACAGCCTTTATAGGTGTAAAAACAATCAGTGTAAAACAAAAAAAAAAAATCTTCATCACCCCCCACAAGTAGTACAGTGTCACCATGGTGACACTGTACTGCTAGGGTGACAGTAAAAAAAAAAAACATAATAATATAAAAATGTAAAAAAAAATGTTTAAAAATTATAATTTTTGGTTATAAACTAATTTGGGTTATTTTTTTTTACTAAAAAGATAACGAATAAATTTTGGACAAGATTTATGATAAAATATTATTTATTTGCAAAATTTTATAAGAACACTTTTTTAAAATATTTTTGGGCTCTTTCATTTACATAGCAAAAAAAAAATAAAGATCCCAATGGTGAATAAATACCACCAAAATAAAAATTTTATCTGTCTCAAAAAAATGCTAAAAAATTCATATAGGTACAGTGTTGCATGACCGTGCAATTGTCATTCAAAGTGTGACAGCGCTGAAAGCTGAAAATTGGCCTGGACAGGAAGGGGGTAAAATTGTCTGGACTGGAAGTGGTTAAGGACCTTCTGTTAGCCTCTGGCTTGCTAAATATTTTTGTTCTACTAGATCTTAGTTCTACCTTTGATACTGTAGACCACAGTCCTTTACTCTCTTGCCTTGAAACCATATTTGGAGTCTCAGAATAGGCTCATTGTGGCTCATTTGTTTTTCCCTCTTGTGAGTTGTAGTGATTGGATTGAACCAATGACTGGATGTGACACCTGGGATCAAATAACCTTTGGGTGATTAAATGTTTATGCTAAACAAACAAATCTTTCTGGTGAGTGGGGTGTCTGGAGGGGGGAGTGACTCTCATGGAAAGCACTGCGGTGATTAAAGTGGAACACCTGAAGTTGAAGTCTAATCTTGAAGGACTTTATTCATAGAAGGACATTTAATGGTGGACTTCTCTTTATGCACCCTAATTCACATGGTGGTGGATAATATAGAGCAATTTAGATCATTGATGCCCCTATTTTGTTATATGTGGATTGGTGTATTTATTGTTGTTTTTTTGGTGTGTAAAGCACTGTTTTGTTAGGATTTGCTCCAATACTACAGTGGGGAAAATAATTTTTTGATTCCCTGCAAATTTTGTAAGTTTGCCCACTTACAAAGAAATGAAAGGTCTATAATTTTTATCATAGGTATATTTTAAGTGATAGAGACAGAATATCAACCAAAAATCCAGAAAAAAATACTTGATACAAATGTTATAAATGGAGTTGCAGCTCAGTGAGTAAAATAAGTATTTGATCCCCAAGCAAAACATGATTAGTACTTGGTGGAGAAATCCTTGTTGGCAAGCACAAAAGTAAGTCTTTTCTGGTAGTTGGTTACCAGGTTTGCACACATCTCAGGGATTTTGGTCCACTCTTCTTTATAGATCTTCTCTAAATCCTTAAAGTTTCTTGGCTGTCGCTTGGCAACTTGAAGTTTCAGCTCCCTCCATAAATTTTCTATAAGATTAAGGAATAAAGACTGGCTAGGCCACTCCATGACCTTAGTGTGCTTTTTCTTGAGCCACTCCTTTTGTTGCCTTGGCGATATATTTTGGGTCATTGTCATGCTGGAAGACCCATCTTTAGTGTTCT